TATTATTTTCATTTCCCTCTTATATACAAAGGGGGCCTTTTTTTGGGAAAAAACGGCTATGTATTTAAACTGTTATGCTTATTGCATGAGATAATTCGTAGTCGATCGATTCCTTTTCACATGAAAATATTGTTTGAATTGTCTTTAATTGAATAAAGATTCAAAGAAGCAAACAAAGGAAAATGTACAGCACTCACCATAATAGCTTAGCAAATAAAAGAAAAGAAAAACAAGTCAACATTTCATGTTGAGGAGTCAGTATGAAATTCACATTTTTTTGGCTTAAGCTTTGTTTATTATCAACGAAATCCACAAGTCATCAATGAAATGAGAATACCATTATGCCGTTAAATTGATGATATGTAGGGTGGCATGTTACATACAGAAGAAAAATCAGAAACTAAGAGTTCTGCTTTATAAATTGAGCGTTGTTCGAATCGGCTGAGACATGTATCTTCCTCGAAATTATTCTTATTTCAGCCCTCAATACGTAAGGAATTCACTATTGTAACTTACTGTGTGCAACCTGACAGATATACCTAGATTCATTCATTTCCCGATCCAAACCACATTCAATATAATGCTCGTGTACAAAGAGTGAATTTGAATACTAATCGATTAACACAAGTAAAAGCTAAAACGAAGCCGTACAAGTATAAACTGCCGATAATTATTTTCACTCGAAATTCTCATATTCTGTCGTGTCTATTTCAGCCCAGAAGCCGGTCTTGATTGGTGGAAAACAACGAAATGCAAAATAGTCACATTCTGTATTTTTGGTGCTTTATTAGTGTTAACGGGGATTCTTGTGCCAACGTTACTCGGTCTATTCAGTAAAACTCCAGCAAGTACGTATGAATCATCAACTGTGGGCTTTGGATTAGTAACAGAACTAACTGAAAGAGAGTCAAAGTCTATCTGTATGAGATTGTGGTCTTAGAATATGTTTAACCGATAATTCCATTTTTGCGTATTGAATGACGACGTATGTATTTTCCACTCACCGGAAAGAAATCTTCAAATATTTTTCTTTTTCGTATAGCAACACCGATTATACAGATATTTTGGCCTTTTGATGGAAATACAAATGATTTTTATGGTACCTATAACGGGACTACTGTGAATAGTCCTACCTACTTCTCGGCTGGTATCACCGGCTATGGCTCGGCCATCAATCTCGTCGCTGCATCATCTCAAAGCATCGTTGTATCAACCTATTTGAATCTTGCTAGCACTAGTTTCACGGTGGAAACTTGGCTCTATCCGACGACTACACCTAGTGGAGACAATGCGATCTTTGGTCAGTGTGCTTGTACCACATGTACCGATCAATGCATGTACCTGGTGTTAAGAAGTGGCGTGCTTTACATGGGTTTTTATGGAGATAATCTCGCAGGCGTGACATCTATCTCGGCGAATAAGTGGTGGCATGTCGCGTTTGTGTTCGACAATAGCGCATCTACACAGACTATTTATGTAAACGGGGTACAAGACGCAACACGCACATCGAATTCTTATAAAGGTACATCTGGAGGTCTGACGCTCGGAACTTCTGCTATACTAACTCCGAACAACTATTTCAACGGTTATTTTGATCAGATGGCTTTTATTTCTAAAGCTAGAAATGCTTCCGAACTGTTGGACGCGGCCACATTAACGGTGTACTATACGTTTGATACCCTCACTTCCGGTAATTATTCGTTTGACTCGGGGCCTAATCTAATAAACGGAACCGGTGTCGGCGTTACATCGGCGTCAAGTGGTCGGGTCAACCAGGCTCTTCAATTCAGCACTTCTGGTGCCTACTTCCAAGTAGGGGGTCTTATCCTGCTGGCAACAGTGAACAATCCGTATTCGGTATCTGTTTGGGTGAAACCAACATCTTTGGCAGGAGGAAGCATTATTCAATGGTCATCAGCTAACACCGGCTCTGGGTGGTGTATAGGTTAGTGATTTTCAATGTTGGTGTGCCGCTGAATATGCAAAATTTAGAAAATAACAGCTTAACCTACTATTGCTGCAGAGTTAGAAGACCGAATAGCTTAACCAACTATTGCTAGCAATGACCGAAAATGATTTTTCCGACTGTAGGTTTCATTCTGCTACAAACGATATAAAAGTGTAAAACAACTCTGAAAAGTGATTGTTATACATCGTCACATAATGAGGAGGACATTGCTTACTTTTGGAAATATCTCAAGAAAGTTAAGGGCTAAACAGATGAAGTTTATACCGTTTCATTAGGCGTCATTCTCTTTTAAACTTTTACATAAAAGGTATGGCTTTAGTCCCATCAAATAGTGTACAACTATGTGCAAAATTGTAGAAATAATTTGTTTTTACCGTTTTTCTGCTCAATCGTAATAAGCACAACTAATCTGAACAGTCATATCATAGCTGAAAGAGTTTTCAATCATCAGGAACGGTGTGTACGCAAGTTAGATGAAAAATTTTTTAGTATGGGACCTCCACAGAACCATGACTGTGCTTCTGCGTCGAACTTGAAATGTTTTGCACACAGCTCAGTCGCCTAAAACAAACTTATCTTGATAAAATAAGACAGTTCGCCCTCATCCAAGTCCGTTAGAAATGTCAAGATCAACAAGTACACAACAAAAATACTAGCAGAAAGTTCTGTAGCTCAGTTTAACATAAAAATGACATAGAGGGCTCGAATACGTCTCATTTTATCAAGATAAGTTTGTTTCAAAGGACTAAACTGTGTGTAAAACGTTTCTAGTTTGACGAAGAAGTTTGGTTTCCTGCAGTAATGATTCTAAGGAGCTCTCATACTAAAAATGTTTTCATCTTCTTGCATACACATCGTTGCATACACATCGGACTTTACTCTGAAAATAGAAAAGTCGTCGAGTTACAGAATGATTGAAAACTCTTCCATCTATTATATTATTTTTCAGATTAGTTCTAGTTATTTCGATTGAGCAGAAAAACGATAAAAAAAATCGTTTCTACAATTTTGCACCTGACGGTATAACAAAAGTAAATTAGATTCCTTATTCTTGTAGATGATCATGTTCAATATGAGGGAACATTATCAGGATGAAGCCTGTTTTCTCCTGAACTGCACGGTTTACGGTCACTGTAAGAAAGTAAAGCAGGAGAAATATTATGCTCTCTGGTGATCAACAGTTTTAAAATAAAAAATTCATTTTTAATAATACTTTTCGATGCTGATCATGAATCTAATAATCGTGTCGGTGATCGAGCACGTCTTGACATACGAAGAAAATCCAGGTCTCATATAACATGGGTACTATTCTTGCCATATCGGAAGTTTCTCCTATAAGTCCTTACACGTTAGATACCAACATTACAACTACAGCGTGATTTATTTAGGCATGATGGGTCTCTCTGTGAGCGGACAGATCATCATTCAGTCATGGAACAGTGGATCTGTATCTGTCACTGGCCCTGTTCTCCCTATCAACACGTGGACTCACATTGCCCAGACGTTTAATACTTCGAACGGACTTCAATTATATGTAAATGGTGCACTATATGGATCAATTGCTATGGCGGCTTTTACTGCAAGTTCTGGATCAAACTACTTAACTCTTGGAAATCCTCTGGCTGGAAGTGGCTGTTCGCAAGCAGCGATCTCACCTGGACAATTTTATGGATACTTGGATGAGTTTCGCCTCTATTCGAGACAGTTATCAGCAGCTAATGTTGCTGCACTCGCTAATCCTTCATAATTACTACTTTTTAGTCATTCGTCATATCACCGTGAAGAAAAACATAAAGTTTATTTAGAATTGTCAAATGTCGAAGGTACTTTTTCGTATTCAACATACTCGATAACCCAGTGGATTTTCTATTTTTGGTGAGGGTACTGTCAAAAGTCTAGGAAAATTTTTCGAACAAAATGACGTAAAAAAGTTTTCATGGGAAAATAGTATTAGTTTCAAAATTTTTCTTAAACTTTTTGCCGGTACCCCTTGTCAAAAGTAGAAAATCTACTGAATTATTGAGTGTGCTGAATATGAAAAGCACTTTTCCACGATTTTAAATGAACTTTATTTTTCTGTCGATAATATGAAACTGCTTGGAACCAACTTTGCATTCATGTTTCTTAAATAATAATTATTTTATAAAATACGGAAAAAAATCAATATCCTACTCGAATATTAATTTTCATGTTTTAGCTACGTTTCGATGCACTGACGATGCGCTAACAATAAGAATGTTAGAATATTTAGCTGCAAAAAAGAAAAATCTAGGACCGATGCAGGCTGTTGGTGTTTGACACGTGCCTGAATATGAATAATACGTTCTAGCAAATACTATTCATCAAACTATGCATAACTTTTCATCGTGTTCTTAAAAAAATAATCTCTGTTAGATCAACGACAAACATTTTAGTTTATTTAGAATCTCGAAATTTTCAATTAATAATATTAATTATCAGAAGCTACAGAGAAGTAAAAGATGCACGTTTTTCTATGTAGCCGCTTAATGCTATCCATAGAAACATTTGTAAATTTTGAATGTACCGTTTATTAAATTATACTTCTTTCTTTTCTCTTCCCTACTATTCTGGATATCAGACTGCCATAATTCATGCGTGCTTCTCAAGCGAATACGAGTAGCTTACTGTTGAGATTTTCAAGAGAGAACAATTTCAACAATTGTCGAAAATCGATATGATTTTCTTTGCGTTGTCGTATTTACAATGATCTTTGACAATTGCCGAAAATCCGATTTTTTGTTTGTCACAGTTCAGTTGCTGTAACGTATACAAACTCGATCGTTTTTTTTTGTTTCTCTTTGGTATCTGTATTTGAAAAAGAAAAACAAACACTCTTATTTTGTCATTTTATGATTTAATGTTCATTTGTGAATTATTAGAAGTAGACAACAACTCACTGATTCTGTTTTAATCTATTACTTAGGATAAGTATGAACATCATGATGAATATTTTTGGTATTGGGACATTTTGAACTACTTCTGATGGACTTTCAACAAGTGTCGAAATTATGAAGACTTAAAACAATAGTCGAAAAACAACCTGAAATGTAGAAAAGAAAAACTATACATCTGCAAGAGAATTGAAGTGTGTATAAGAAAAAAAACACAGCAGCATCTTCGGACTTTACTCTGAAAATAGAAAAGTCGTCGAGTTACCGAATGGCTGAAAACTATTTAAATTTAAGTTTAATTTAAATACTGAGTTCCGGTACTCTGTAGTTCGTATGACAAAACAGTTAAAATTCTTGTTTCGATATGTCGGTATGCAATTTTGATTTGTGACGTTGTTCTTCTGATGGGATTATGTTCATTTTTCTAATAACATCAAAGAAATATTTTGTTCTGCATTTTTTCTTATACATTAGCAACATACTTCAACTCTCTTGCAGATTTATAGGTTTATTATGCACATGTGGTCGCACATATATCATGTTGTTGTTTCACTTCTTACTAAAACAGTCAGCAAAATAAAATATAAATTTCAAGTAAAATATCGCAAGTGAATATTTTTTCAACAGTACAGTTTTCTTTTCATTCTAACTGCATTGAATACATATATTATATTTCCTGTTGCATGCAAGTATTCGTACCAGACGGACGTTTAGACTTATTGTTGGGATTAAGCAAAAAAATAATACGTAAAATGAGAAATCGATTACTATTGAATAATAATATATAATTTATTTTACAGGGCTGTTTAACAATCTTTTATAAATATTTTATAAATCTAGTAACAAACGATCAGCAAATTCGATCTAAAACAGAAGAATCTTGTCTAATTTCTGTTCATTTGTCTTTATCAGACCGACAAACGCATTCATCTGATTCCAAGTTTTAGATCGATATTCTCCGTGATGTTTGATATCTGATGCGAAAAAACTAGTCGAAATATCCAAACAGCATCCGTTAGATTTTGGAAACAAAAAAAGTTTACAAGCGAGTGACATTATTTACTCGTTCTATGGACTAAACAATTGTTTCAATGCACTTGCCCGCAGACTCCTGCGGGGCAAACTTTTCTGTAGCCCCGAACCCGTAAGATTTTTCTTTAGCCCGATCCCGTAAGCCCAAGCCCATAAATTCATTTGTCCCAAGCCCGTTTTGTACCGCAAAAGAGAATCACGGGCTTTCCCGTACCGTTTACCCCGTTCTTTTAAAAAGACCTGTCGCTATCGCCCGGCACAACTGCAACACACAGCATTTTCTTAAGGGGTGTAGGAGGCATTTACTAGGGTGTAGGATCCCAAACATTTTCTCTTCATCTGGTGTCAGCTCTGAAATTGAAGAATCGGGCTCTGTTAAATTGTAGCCCTACATCCTAGCTACATTTTAAAACCAACCCGAGCGCTCTAACGTTAAAAATGGCAGAGAAATCTGGGACGGACGAAGACCCATTTTTGGGCCTTAATTGTGGGCTAGCTCTTGATAGGTTTAATATTTCGAGCTGAAAGTTTTACTGTGAGGTCATCATAAACTTACCTAGATACACCATCTCTGAAAGTTTCATTAAGATCGGATGCTCGTAAGCAGAAATGGATTTTTGGGTGGAGGATGGGCCTTAAAACTTGAACAATGAAGGAAGGAAAGGAAAATTCGAAAATGGTATCGTCTGATCCAGTCAGCCCATACTGGAAAATATGAGAAATCTTTTTTCTGTTGGATCGTTTCATTGAACTTCTTATCGTCTTCAGAGAATTGTATTCTTTATCTATTCATTAATTATGTCACTTGTTAATGCTAAGAGTAATAATAATTTGACAACAAAGTTACCAGCATTGGTCACAGCGAAAGATCCAACGATTTCATTCATTAAACCGGCTGTCAGTCGTAGTGATTGTTGGACATCATTTTCTCAAATAAAATTATCGAAAGTTTCCCAAGACTACGTTGTTTGTTTATCTTGTAGAACTGTCTTGAAATGGATTAGTGGAAACGGTACGAAAGTAATGAAAAATCACAGTTCTTCGAAAAAAAAATGGTATGAGGAGTATTCCACCAAAAGGACGTCAACGTACGATCTCATCTTATTGTGAAGCACAACCAAATGATTATGCAACAATTAAACACCAACGAACCGAAGCGTGTGTCGAATATTGCGCTGTTGATAGTCGTTCATTTGAATCTGTGTCTGGTGACGGTTTTATCAGCTTAGTCAAACAGTTAATGAATGCTGGAGCAATAGTCGGTACGGCTGTACCAGTAAAAGAATTATTGCCTCATTCATCTACAGTATGTCGCTTAAGGGGGAGTTCCCCCATTTAGATTTTCCTTAAACCCTCACAGTTTGTAGTGGACACTTCGAAGTTTATATCTTGAAGTTTTCTGGCTTACCAACATTGTTAGGCTGAGAACAAAATTAATTACTTGGACAATTTTAGTAAATTTTCCAGTTCGGGACTATTTTTAAAAAAATTCTTCTAGATTCTCTATTCATAATGAAAGCTTGGTTTTTTTTGTAGATCAAAAGAGAAATGTGTGAAGATTATTTAGTACAAAAGAAATCTAAACTTTATTCTCTTTCCTTCGTGTTATTGGGTAACTAGCGCTAATTAACGCTAATTTAAATTCCTGACCAATTCCTTAATGTAACAAAACCAGACTTACTGAACACCCAAAAATCATTTGCAGGCCACCTGTCTTGTAGCTAGGGATATGCCGTAACCGGTAAATCCGTTTACCGTTAGCGCGGTAACGGTAAAAATATTTTACCGCTACCGCGGTAAATTTAGTACGGTAAAATTTTTTTTACCGTTACCGCGGTAATCTCGCTTTTCGGCAAATTCCTCTTACCGTTACCGCGGTAAATTTCGTACGGTAAAAACTCCTTACCGTTATCGACTTTTTGTCTCGGTAAAAATACTATTACCGTTCATTTTTCCGGTAAATTTTTTTTACCGTTGTCTCGTTTCAATAAATGTTGTTTGCTTCAGATAGGACCGTATATTATATAATCGGCCTAGAGGTAGGAAGTTATCGGAAATACAGATTTTGATTTTCTTAAGTAAGGAGAAGGTCAAATATATCTAAAAAAAACTACCTATATCATATTTGAATGACTCTAATGTTTGTGTTTCTAAATGTTCTTCAGACAAATGAATAAAAGTAATCTGAGTCATGAACAACAGTTCAAAGCAATTTTATTTTTTCGACGCTACATATTCTTTTCCTATTCTAAAATATCGATTTGTCTACACGATTCCGCATTAATCGTCCAGATATACTAAACGCTCACCCTCACCCTCACCTAAATGCAGAATGCATGAATTTATATTACCGCATGGGGTCAGAATTAGAAGGAAATAAAGAAATAAAAACAAAATAAAAGACATAGGTTCGAAGTTCGGTAAAAAAAAACTTTACCGGAGAAAAATTCGGTAAAAAGTATTTACCGGACCCTCGGTAAAAAAATTTTTAGCGTTACCGCGGTAAAAAGGCTTTTACCGGTTGGTAAATTACCGGTTACCGCACGTCCTTACTTGTAGCCCGTAAAATTCTCTGTCGGATGACGTATTGCTTGAATTTAATTGTTGTGTCGTTATTTTACAAATAAGAATTTATTTATTCTACTGATAATCAAAGCATTGAAGAAATACCTGATACATATAATGAAAAATCATCACGTCCTTGTATAAATACCGATAAATGTGTAGCACAAACAAAACTGTATGATTATTTAATTGAAGGCAATTTTATGATTGTTCCAAATTTTTATTTTGGATGTGCCATATTAGAAGCGTTATTACAATCAACTTGAGAATGCTTTTATTCTGAACAATGTTTCATAAAATTAAACCGTCTCTTAAATCCAGATGATGACGATTTTAAATCCATTTGAAATTTCAATTTTCAAACTCAACCCTTGCAAGTCAATATCAACCAACAACAAAAGTTCAACAAATTTCAATTAATGATTAAAAAGTGGAATTCAACTGTTTCATTTGATCAATATTTTAATCAATATCAACCGACAGAATGTTCATATACTTATATTAAAAGATTTGATTTGATTTATACAATAACAACAATTCTAGGTTTGATTGCGGGTCTTACAACAGTATTAAAAATATGAATACCAAATTTAACTATAATATTTTATCTTTCTATTTTGCTGTTCACTAAAAAGAATACATTTTCATCTACAACAACAATTTAGACAACGTCAGGTTCAACCATCACAAAACGCAACAAATGGAGAAAATCAAAATAACAATGTAAATAGAATATCAGTTATCTATAGCTATTTACTTTTTAGCTTAAATTTCTTTTCACACATAGTAGACAGATAGTCAAAGTAACAACCGAGTGGACAACTCTACAACTAATTAACTTCAAGATAAAATTTAACTGTAAGAGAGCCAACCCAACGCTATTCCGTGTTACTTTTTGTTTACTTTTTTCTGAATATACCCATATCCGTATTTCGCACATTCTGTATCTGCTGTGAGATTCTTCTCTTATTCTTTCATATACAGAAAAGCTTAAACACTTGAAGTTTTATCGAAGGTGAAAAAACGGACAACTCCATCCACCTCTTCCTGAACGCAAAAAAATTTCTGAACTCCCGCGTTATGTTAAAGTTTGACAGTCAAACTTGTCCAGCGCAAGTAATCGGTTTCGAAAATTTTCTCATTTTGAAGTAATGTTTCTGGCTTTTAACCCAAAACATTATTTCGACACTATTGGATTTTTCCCTCGAAATTCGACAGTGTCGAAAGCTTGTCGAATTTCGTGTGAAAAATTTCAAATAGACTAGAAATTCGACAGATTTTTCGGTTCATTTCTCTGCTAGAGAAGCAAAAGCGTAAACATGT